CCGTGGGGCTCCTTGCTCACAAGGAGATTGTTTTCTCCGAGTGAGTCCAAACCAATCTTCTTGTGCAAGGAGATCGGTTTGGACTCGCTCGGAGAAAATAATCTCTGCAAGGGCCCGCCCCTGCCCCATCATGCGTGTGTGCCTGCCCCCTCCCCAGCCTGGCTGGCACCAAATTCATGGTTTTTCACAATTCGCGGGTGCTCTAGGAATGCAACCCCCACGAATTTTGGGGGACTACTGTACATAATGATACAACCCACCCATGGACCTTCAGTGTTAGTCAATAGTAATGGCATTTGCTATTTAATTAGCAATAATGAAAAGTTAGAGCTTACAGGTCACAATTTTCTCCACAAAGCACAAAAAATTGCTTTGAATTGTGCAAAGATGGGCATCAGTTCATAGGAGCATGGGGTGCAACTCCTGCCCCATTTAGTCATGGTGTTGTTCTGAGAGCAGCCATAGCAGCTGCTGGGCTGAGCCTGCCCATCTGTCTGTACTTTCCATACAAGCAAGGCTCAGGATAGGACAGAACAAGCACAGGAGGAAATACCTTCAAGCTTTACTCACTGGCAGCAAGATGGTAGCAGGCAGCAACACAACCAGGCTCCTTTACACCAAAGTAGCTCAGTTCCAAATGGACAGCAGAACTTACTGTAGTCCACATCTGCCTTACCTATCTCTGCTCTCCACTTCTCAAGACTGCGCATGGGCAAGGTCTAGTCCAGGGGTCAGCAACCTTTAACACTCAAAGAGCCATTTGGACCCATTTCCCACAGAAAACACTGGGAGCTGCAAAACTCTTTTGACATCTAAAATGAAGATAACACTGCATATATAGTTTTTTACCTTTATGCTATGTATAAAAAACTATAGTGTGTTGTATTTATGAAATCAATGAACTGCTACAGAGAAAACAATTTTTTATTTCTGCATGCAACAAAAACATTTTGAACTCCAAAAAGAAAAAGACGCTGTGTTGAAGGTTACTTTCAAATCAAATAGTCAATGTCTATTTGAGTTCTCCTCGTATTTATGAACTAAAAAGCCAAACTTAAATTGTCCACCAGCAACAAACCAAACATGCCACCTGCAGCAAACCAAAAATGCCATCTGCTTCTGTGTGCCCTCATCCTTTTATCATGTGGTGAAATACTGAACAAACATCTCTCTCCCAATGTAATAATGTTGCTGAAATTTTTATAAGAATCTTCTTAAAACAAGGAAGTAGCTCTATATCTTCATTATGATTTAGCTGCAGTTCTTGTTCAGTCAGTAAAAACTGTTATTTTTAATCTTACATTATAAACTAGTAGGACTCCTTTCATATATTTTGAATAGGAGAACAGCTTCCTGCAGAGTCAAAGTCAGTGCTAAAGGGCTGCATGCATTAAACAGCAAACCCCATAGGTTCATCAGCAGTAAAAGCAAATGAATCTACCCACGTACCATTAAATGTTCGATTTTCTTCAGAAACTTTTCTTTGATTTATCCATGGGTGTGTGTGTGTGGGGGGGGGAAGCCCAGTAAATCGGGCTCTGGATCACAGATATAGGTGTGTTTAGTGACTGATTAGCAGATAAACAGTCAAGTGATGTGAATTGTGACAGGTCCCAAGCGCAGCTTTTAACATTCAGATGAAAGAGATTACACTGGGACAAAGATAATCTTTTGTGTAACATGAGAGCCTGCAGGAAGCTTGTTCAGCTCTTTTCCTGCACAATAGCAGAGGAATGTAGCAATTTATTTCACCAGCCTTGTCACAGATCGGTGGCTGTGCCGGGGAGTATTCTGAGCGAAGGAGCCGCAGCAGAGGGATTCAAGAGCCACGTGCGGCTCTGGAGCCGCGGGTTGCCAACCCCTGGTCTAGTCAGTAAATAAAGCCCTGGAGTAAGGGGTAGGATTCCATCCAGCTCAATTGAGAGTGGCTGTAATGCAAATAGTTAAATGTGGATTTGGCAGGCAAACCAGGCCAGCATCCTTTTAGGCCCTCAGTTCAGTAGCCTGAGGGAATGTCTACCTCATAAAGCAAAGGATAGTCGCATAATAGTCTAAGCAAATCACTGACTTCCTCTATTGTTCTACCTGGCATGATGGGCCCTGGTGAGTTCATTTTAATTCAAAAACAAAGCAGTAAGTTCAGGTGAGATGATGTGGGGGAGAACACAGGAATATCACCTATTTGCAAAGTGGGGCTGTGTGTTGCTTGTAAGCACAACCCTGCAATCCCATAATCACAAGTGAAGATGCACTTCTGTCTGTGGAGTTTTGTGGCTTAAAACACAGACACACCAATAAACATGCATAGAGTTGATCTGTTGTTATGTAAAAGCAACTTAAAGCCCTTTCCTTTTTCCTGAGAAGGCTGGGAAGTGCTAAAAGAGAGCATAATGGAAGGGAAGAGGTAGCTGACACACTTTGTGAGGAGAACCCTTCGAAATGTCATCCCTACTCGTGGGCATCCATAGGAAAGTCCAGGGAGGGACAGTTGAACCCCTGGAAATGAGCCGCAATCTTTCTGACTTAGGCTTTGTTACTATTTTCTTCTGAGTTTATAAAAATTTGAAAGGGTACTGTGAGAAATGTGTGCTGATAAAGGTCACCATTATGCTGTAGCTGAGAGGATTTGGGATTACACAAGTCCATCCAAAGTAGCCCAATGATTTTATATCCATTTTGCAGAGGGATGTGTGTTAAAGTATGTTCAGTGTTGTTTTACTGAAAGGCAGAAGGGACTGTGAAATTGATTATAACTATCTGCTGTGATGTGTATGTATAGGTGTAAGAGAGCCTGCCATTTTTGCTGTCTTCCTGTTCTTCCTGTTTTTCTTTTATTTGGATTTGGAGCTCAGATAATGTACCACACAGCTGCTCAGAAATTAAAATTTTCTTATGGATTGTAGGAATAAAAAACCCTCTTATGAATCTGTTGTCTGCTGCCTTTAAAGCAGAACCTAGCAGTGGGCTGCAAACTGAGCAGTTCACCCACTCATGGCAATACCTGCCATGTCATTATTAATATCAAACATGCTGTTCAACCGTATAATGGCCTTTGGCCCAAAGGGCCATTATGATAGTGAAGAGAGTCATGGAAAGAACTGAAGTTTTCAGCTGTGAATGGAAAGTTATTGCCTGGATACTAGGTCAGGTGATTCACTTAAATCACCTGAGAAGTAGGCCAGCTATACACATTTTCCAGGCTCTCGCTTTCTTGGTAGACTTGTTATCCAGACCTCAGTGCTACTTAGTCACTAGATTTGCCAGAAAGTTCTCTAGTGCTATCAGGTCTTTTTAAAATGTGCAACATACACAAAGACACAATTCATGGGAAAAATACAGAAGAGCATTGCTGTAGTTCACAATTCAAGCCATGCAAAAGCTGAATTGTTAGATGATGTAAAAAGTATCTGATAACAATGAGAAAAGTAACACAATCCAGGCTCCTTTAGAACCCTGAGACCTGGAGTTCACGCTGTGTGTTAAATTCTGCTTTAGTTCAGTTCCCAAGATTTTTTGCTTTTGCCATTAAAAGACTTTTAAAGGTTATTGAAGTCTATTGCAAGCTTAGTAACAAAAAGTACATAAAAGGAAAGTTTGCAGGTGTGTTACAGCTGTGTGCACAATGCACATGAATTACAGACATAAACTGCTGTGCAGGTTTGTCCTCACCCCTGCCCCCAGTAAAATTCCTGTGGACACCCATATATGCAAAATACAAGCATACTCTTTCTCAGCCTGTTTTAGTGAGAACTTGTACACAAAAAGTTGCAGGAGATTGTTACCTTGACATACTTTTGCTAGAAGTAGTATCTAGATCGTTTTTATGCATTAATTCCACAGGGTTACTAAAATGGTTTCATAACCAGTTCTGGACAGTGATGGAGGTTTTCTCAAAAATAAATTGAAACGTTTTCTGTTGCCCTAAAATAGAGATGTGATTTTGCATATTTATTTGAGTTGCATTTAGTAATCAAAACATTTTACAGCATGCCTGTTTAATGTACTGTATCTGATTCGCCTCCCCGCAACTGTTCAGAGTAGTTGAATTGCAATATTGTATATAAAATGTGGGTGGAAATCCATAAAATACACTTAGCTGGGGATCCCATAGAGTGGTTCTGAAGGTAGGACCACATCCAAAACCCTGGTGTGTTCATGCCAGTATGGCAAACATGAAGGACAGAGAGAGTTCTCTCCTCCCTTTCTTCCTGACTAGGTCCTGTCCTGTCCTTTCTGAATGATCTATGTAGCTCCCATAGCAACCAACCAGAGGGCAATTATTTATGCCAGTCTAGAGGCTGCCATAATGTTTGTCCTATGATGGTCCTATGTTTGGAGAACAGAAGCACTATGAATCCTGCAGATCTGACTGCTTTTTTACTTTTTTCAAAGTCAGCATTCTGATACAGGAAAGTTGAGGGATGAAAAAGTTTCCATGGAACTGGGAGAGGTCAGCTCTTTTTCCTTCTAAGCATGGTTTCCTCTCTCTGCCCTTGTAAAGAGAGTTCCTAAAAGTTTTACAGCTTCTGCAATACCTTTCCATAGTATTGAAGTATTAGTTTGGTTTAAATTTTATATTTAAGTTCAAAGATTTAGTCAGAAAATACTTTTGTGGTAATATTTCTAAATATTTTAAGGCATGTCAACTCAATAGCTCACAGTTCTCATAGATATTACAAAGAGACAAATGAAGACACCGAAAACTGTCTGCATACTACTTTTAGCATGCCTGAAGAACAGTGCTAATAAATGTCTGTCTAATGTATGGATAGTCTCCTGGAGGGAAATCTTAATTTTGTGAACTTAAGAATCTATATGTTGTCCAGACTGTGTTAAATTTTGCTCGTTATCTGTAGTTTTCCAGATCTTATTGAATGTATATTACAGAATATCTATAGAAAGTGGTGATGTGTATTTGTTGTGATTATAGGAGCAACATTTGTGCTATTTCTTTTAAGTGGTGGGAGAGAGAAATAATTTGTTTGTTGTTTGCTCCTCAGGGAAGAAGATGAATATTCAGAATTGCGATCAGAACTTAGTCAGAGCCAGCATGAGGCCAATGAAGATTCACATAGCATGGACCAAGATCAGACTTCCGTTTCTGTCCCGGAGAACCAATCAACTATGGTTACAGCTGACATGGGTGAGCAGTGTAACTGCAGCAAAAATTTACTGCAGTTTTTAATGACTAGTTTAAAACTTCAGAGGGAAACAACAAGGTAGTATGTTTTATTAAAGTTAAATCTGTAAGGCAAGTGTCCTGAATATTAGTACATCACAAAAACAAGTATTTTATAGTATGCCTGTTTCTTGTCCTCAGATCTTTAAAAAAGGAATAGAGTAACAACAGAGACATAGTGGAAGTTGCTGTTGAGCAACTTTTTAAAAATATCAGCTCTATATAGAAATTAAACATCTAACATAGACAACATGTGTATTCTTGCTTTAAAGGAAGGAATGGTGCATATTCTTAAGAAGGTGTTAGGCCCCTCCTGAAGAAAATCAATCTTATTCTCTCAGTATTTGATAACTGTTGCCTTGTGCCTGAACTTCCATTTTTTTAAGCAAGGGTCTGGAGCAGCTGGTTACATCTCAAATCCAGGTAGCCTTGGAGGATACTGATTATTTGGGTCCAGTCCTGTCTGAAATCAAGTCCTAGTTTTGGGACTGAAACAGCCTAGGTCATCCTAATAGATCACCTGGATGGGGGAATGTGGCCTCTCAGAAGCTTTTGATAGTAATGACTGCGAGATGTGTCTGTTTCACTTGGGTAAGTGGGGTTTGGTGGGCAAGTGTTACAGTGGCTCCAGTCCTCCATGGCATCATTCTCAGAAGGTGATCCTGAGGAGCATCTGCTCTCTTGCATAGCCTAAGACAGTGATGGTGAACCTATGGCACGTGCTGTCGGCACGCGAGCCAAGTTGCCCCAGCATCCCTCCAGCAGCTGAGCATCGGATAACAGTGCACATAGTGAATAGTGGCGCCAGGTGATAACGTCACGAGCCACAACTCATTAGCCACAACTCATCCGAGCTTTCGCATGGTCAGTGCACTGCCAAGGATATGATGGGTTTTGGGTTGCAGTTTGGGAACTCAGTCTCTAAAAGGTTCACCAACACTGGGTGAGGGTTAGAAAAACAAGGTGTCCTGGCATGATTTTGATGGTTGGAATGTGTTTAGAATGGGCAAAAATGATGAGCTGTGCCGAAAAAGCTACTCAAAGTAGGCTTTTTCAAAATCACCCTCTTGTCAATGGTATTTTACCACTATATTAGGGTTAGGGGTGTGCACCAGGGTAGGGTTAGGGTTAGAAAAACAAGATGTCCTGGCATGATTTTGATGGTTGGAATGTGTTTAGAATCGGCAGAAATGATGAGCTGTGCAGAAAAATCTACTCAAAGAAGGCTTTTTCAAAATTGTTCTTTTTTCAATGGTATTTTACCCCTATATTAGGTTGAAATTTTTTATTTAAATAAAAACATACTACAATGCCCCTATATTAGGGCTGGGGGAGTGCACCAGGGTAGGGTTGGGCCAGTGGTGGTGAATCTATGGCATGCATGCCACAGAGGGCACTCAGGGCCCTCTCTATCAGCATGCGAGCCGATTCGCCCCCACATCACCCCAGCAGCCAAGCATCCAGTAACAACTCACATAGGGGTCATGCACATGCCCAGAAAGGAGTAGCGGCGCCTGGCGATGACATCATGACCCATGACTAATTGGCCGCGATTCGTCCGAGCTTTTGCATGGCCAGTCAGTGCGCTGACAAGGATATATATATATATATATATGCTTGGACTGGCTGTGTGGTGTTTTTTCTAAACTAAAACCTCAGTTTTCAGGTTTTATTGTAGTTTTGGCACTTTGCGAGAAAGAAGTGGGTTTTGGGTTGCAATTTGGGCGCTTGGGCTCTAAAAGGTTCACCGTCACTGTCCTAGGGTCTGTGGGGTCCACAGATTGCTATCTTATCCAGCATGCTATTTAATATCAATATTAAACTGTTAAGGAAAGTCATCCAAAGGTTTGGCTACAGTGTCACCAACATGTTGGTTTTATTTATTTATTTTCCTTTGTATACATCCTCATAGCTCAGAGGGCTGTATGGGTGTTTTACAAATAAAAGACATGTAACAATAAAAACAGTACAAAACATGAAAACCAATTAGAAGCAAATACAACAACTCGAAAACTCCTGGTGATTAAGAAAATTAATACATGGCATAAAAGCATTTCATATGAAAGCAATATTAAAATCAGTGTATCCATTAAAGCATCTGGAGAATAAAAAGGTTTTCACCTGGTACCAGAAGGTAAACAACGATGGTGCCAGGAGCCCCTCCTTGGGGAGCATGTTTCAGAGATGGGGTGCAACCACAGAGAAGGCCCTTCTCCTGACTGTCACCCCTCCTTAACATACGGCTTTGCCTTTGTTTTGCATTCACAGGAACACCATGAAACCTCTGAATACTGAATGGTTGGAGACCGTTTTGGGTTAAAGGAGTGTGAACAAACTAATGCTTATTTCAGACAGAATGGAAGTATCTTGGGTAGGGAAGTCTGATCTGGAGAGAGGGATTCAAATGGCATTTCCCTTGAAGGATCAAGTCTACAGCTTGGGGGTGTGCTGATGGTGGAAGTCATTGCCAGAAATGCCCTTTACCAATTTTGGTTAGCACATCAGCTGTAGCTATATCTAAGGAAAGAATGCCTAGTCTCAATAGCACATGACCTAATTGCATCTAGACTTAGACGAATAAGGTTTGTGGGCACTAGAGATAGTGCTTTCTCAGTTGACAGAGCCCTCTTGAAAGATACACAGTTCTGTCTGTGATTGCTTTTATGAGGGTGTTAAAACATATGTGTTCTCTTTGCTTTTTAATTGAAAATGTTTTATAGTATTTGCTGCTAATAGATTTGGAAATAGGATTTTATTTTAGCTAGTTCATTTTAAAGTTGTTTAAATGTAAGTCACTTATACAATTTGATATTAGATTTTACTGTAGCGTGTTAGGGGAAGACCTTGGTCTGAAAGGAACCTAAGAAATATATTAAATAAATATATGATTGGAAAACATTGAAATTAAGTCATGTATTCACTGTGGCATTCCATTTAATTTTCCCTTAGTGTTAACTGTTGATTTTTAACTCTGTGGCAGTTTTGTTTTTCTTAAATATTTCTTGGGTATTATTAGCTAGTGATTTAAGTTTTCTCTTCTACAGTGCTATAACTGTATAATCTGTAAGTCTCTGGTACAGCAAGATCAGCTTACAAAGGGAAATAAAAATCAGTGTTCTTCCAAGACTTGTTGCTTTTAAAAAGACATGTAATTTCTGTACAGATGGCAGGTTTCAAAGTAACATTTGGCAGAGCTGTGAAGTGTTAAGGACATTTGTTTGTGTCACAGTGACTCTGATAGTGGTGGTTTTGTCCAACTCCAGCAGGTTTTGTGATACCAGAGTCTAGGCTTACAACCAGCATGTTATATAGAAATAACCATGCTTTGACGTTTCGGTTAGAGAGATTTAAAATGTTATAAACCACCTTTTGCAGATTCTATCAGACATCCTTTTAATTCTGCTCTCAGTTGATTATCCACTCTGCTGGTACAAAAGGCTTGTACTTATTCAGGCTTTCCTCACTTTCGCTATGTAAGATCAGTAAAATACACCAATCCATCTAAAATGCTGTGTGCAGACTGACTTTGTAATATTTTCCCCGAAGTACGAAAGAGAGCAAGTTGATGATCATGAGCCATGTTTCTGATACACCAAGCTTTAAGCACACAGACTCATATGTAGGAATCTTAGCTGTTCAGCTACTGCATGACCTTGCTGCAAAGGCAAAGTTAATATAGAGGTCCTGTAATCTTCTCCCTTTGTTTGTTGATGTTAGGCAGACATAATATTAGTTGAGTTCCATGGGGTGATGTATGGCCTGGGGAATTTAGAACTGCATGTTGAACCACACATTTGTCCAAGGGAAGTTTATAGTTGCATACTGGTTGCTCATAGTTTTAAGAACACATGAGAAGAGAACCCTGTGAGATTTTGATAGTAGGTTTTCAATTATACAGTTGTCCTTAAATTAACTATTTGGTATATACTCTTGGAGGTTTCAAGAAGTTCATTTCTGAGCTGAAACGAGTTGACAGGATACAACATGAATGTTGTATTCTTGCAAACATTTTGAAGCACTTAATTTAGTTTCCCTGGACCCATGAATCAAAGTGGGGACTTTATTTAAAATATAAATTACAGTTTCTCCTGTCATATGAAACTATAATAATGTTAAATAGCAATAAAACATCAACAACATACATATATTGTGAAGGAAGGTTGGGGTTCATCAGTCCCCTCTGTCAGGGACTCAACCCCTGCCCCTGATCCAGTAGTCACCCCTGTGTAGGCACTGGATTTAGCAATGTTTCACTGAAACAACCACCACAGTCTGGTAGACAGAGTTGATTTACCAAAGAGAGGGGAACAACATGCTAGGATTTAACAGGATATTGGAAAAGGTACAAGGCAATATAAGGTTCCAAAAATAAAATCCTAAAATACATTAAGAACCCCAAGCATATGCAGAGTCTTCAGCACACCACCCAACAAAAAATGGCATAACTATCCCTACTCTACATCATCTCTGCAATGCATTTGCCATGAGTAGAGGCACCAGCAGGGTTGGTCAGGCAGAAATTATCCAAACAATTTTTTTGGCTGGAGGGAGATTAAAAAACCCGCTCTGGATGCCTGTATGCTATCCCCTCCTGATAACAGTGTTTCCTGACAACCTATCCTGAGATGACTCACCATCTTAACTAGCATCTCCTGCCTGATCTCCATCCCAGCTTCAGGCAATCAAGTGCTGAAATGGTAAGGCCATAAAAAATGCCAGCTGTTCTTGGGAAAGAGCTCATCTCCTTCCTTGATAACCCCCGGGAATAAAATGCTCAACCTTTATAACCAGGCTCCATTGATTTAAATGCAGAGTACCTCTGTTTACAAAATGCATACACAAACCAGTTGGGGCTTTCTGGACAGTTTTTGTAGAAGTAGTTCCAACTAGGTAATTCTTTTGTTCTTATACAATAACCAGGCCTCTCTGAGCCATTAATAAAAGTTAAAATTAAACAAAAGTTA